AAACAGAAAAGAGATGTATAAAATACCTTCTGTGAAGAGAGGTTTGCTATATAACTATAAGCATAAATAATATCACAAGGCCAACGTTTAAACTGCACAAGAAAGTACCTTTTTTTTTTTTTTTTTGCTGAGGAAGATTAGCCCTGAGCTAACATCTGTGCCAATCTTCCTCTATTTTTTATATGTGGGTCCCTGCCACAGCATGGCTGACGAGTGGTGTAGGTCTGTGCCTGGGAACGTTCCGAACCCATGAACCCAGGCCGCCAAAACGGAGCATGCTGAACTTAACCACTAGGCCATGGGGCTGGCCCCAAGAAAGTACTTTTTTAAAAGCAATTGTGCATATGGCTGTGATGGCTGCCATTAATTATGAAAGAATTTTATCTTCATTAGAGCAGGCCCAATGGGGTCTCCAGTTATAACAATTATTTATTTATTTATTTATTTAACTTTTTTTGCAGGGGGAGATTCACCCTAAGCTAACATCTCATGCCAATCTTCCTCCTCCCTCCCCCCACCCCCAAAGCCCCAGTACACAGTTGTGTATAGTTGTAAATTCTTCTGGTTCTTCTACGCGAGCCGCCGCCACAGCATGGCTATGACAGACAAGTGGTGTAGTTCCACACCCAGGAACCGAACCAGGGCCACTGAAGTGGAGGGCACCGAACTTGAACCGCTATGCCTTCAGCGCTGGCTCAACAGTTATTTATTAAAAGTAATTCCAATTTTTCTTAAAAACTAAAGCAGCAATCTAGTGTTGCCACTAATTTACATCAATGAGTTTACTGACCAAAGTGTGTTTCACATGACTGTATTTCCATGAAGAAAAGGGTTCCAGAGCATATTAGCATAGGAAAACCACCGAGAGGGTCTAGAGTAAGGGGGCCTATTGCACTTCGTTTAACCCAGTTTCCCAAATGACCCAAGAATCTATTTTTTTCCTCAAGGAAAGTCTATGAACATCTTACTTGATCAGTGTCCATGGTACACTGATGGAAGTCATTTATGAAAATGCCACTTATGGGGTCTGAAACCCTCCGACTATACCATCTACCCACTTGCCTTTCTTGTGGGAAAGAGATGGGATGAGCAGACTTTATTGCTTGTTGGCAACATACACAAGGTTCTGTGTGCCCCTTCCCAGAAGATGGACTCATATCTGCCACAAGAGGCGAGGAGAGTCCCTGTTTAAAGTCCCCTATATACAGACATTATGTTTGCTTGCTTTTGATACCTGTATAAAAGAATAAGGAGAAAACTGCTTTCCAGGGCCCGAATGAGTAAAAAGAGAGCTATGGCCAGGGATTGGCATGGGCCCCTGAAACAGGGTGGTGATATTTCTCCCACCCATCCTTGGAATGGCAGCCTGGCAGGCCCACAGAGACAAGAGGAGAGGTGGGACTGTGGTCGTCTGCCCTGGTCACTGGGGGCAAAATGCCAGCTCTAAGGCCAGAGCCACATTCACACACGTGAGGACACCTTCCTTCCCACAGTGGGCAGGAGCTGAGGAGGTCAATCTAGGCGCTCCCCAGGGCTGCCTTTGATTAGAAATACAAGGCTATATTATTCAGCCTTAAAAAAGAAGGAAATCTTGCAATATACCACAACGTGGATGAATTTTGAGGACTTTATCCTAAGTGAAATAAGCCAGTCACAGAAGGACAAATACTGCATGATTCCATCTTATGTAAGGTATCTAAAATAGTCAAACTCATAGAAGTGTATAATAGTGTTTGCCAGGGCCGGGGGGAAAGGGGCAATGGGGAGGCTCATCAACGGGGACAAAGTTTCAGTTATGCAAGATGAACAAGTTCTCAAGATCTGCTGTACAACATTGTGCCTATAGTTAACAATACTGCATGGTACACTTAAAACTCTTTTAAGAGGGTAGATCTCATGTCAGGTGTTCTTACCATGATAAAATAAAATTTAAAAAGGCAAAAAAAGAAATACAAGGCTCAGGAAACCCCTTTCACCAATCTTGTGTTTGGGAGCCTTGACATTTATCTCCCCGTGATGAAAAGAAACCAAACTACAGAACAGCCAAGAGAGAGGAGGGAGCTCCCTCTCTGCCAGGCGATAATGCAAATGCAAACGACTCTCAAGAACAAGACAGAAACTTCAGCCCAGTCCTCAAAAACCAACACCCCACAGAGAACTGACATCTGATGTGGCTACAACTCCTTAGCCGTTCATAATAACAAGTTTCTCCAAATCAACCTTGGGGATCAGTGGGGGGCGTCATAGCCCATCACCTCCTCACCCAAAGTAAACTTACCCCATGAGAAATTTCTTCAGAGCAAATCAAATCCACTTGAAAGCCTTAAGAAAATGCTAAACCCAAAATAACTATAAATTCTGAAATTACATGGCTCAGTGAAACATTCTGAATTTCGAGAAAGATTTTGCGCCCTTCAAGCCTCTGGTATACATACTTTTCCTCTTCATTTTAACCACATCAAGAAATCCCCTAAGAGATTCCATTTTCTCAGCAAGGAAAGTTACAAAAGAGAATGCGAAATGGGCTCATTTTTGCAAGCAAAATGAAGCACTTTTATGTTTTATTCATGCAAAGTGAAAACCCCTTTCCTCTGCAGCATTACAAATTGAATTTGCTCTTGTAAATTGCTGTAAAAAAAAAAATCAAAAGCAAAAGAAAGTTAAAAAAAAAAAAAAGCAGGAATACAAAGGCTCCTTCTTCTAGGGAATGAAAACTCAGGGGCCCAATGGGGAGAAAGAGAACCTTTCATTGGCAAACACACTTTTTAATTTACTGCTTCCAAAAGCAGTCTGGCTCAAGGGCCCCCAACCCCAACATGAGCTCGCTGAGGTCCTCACAGCTGATGTGGAACCCTGCGTGCATTTCTAAATTACACTTATCCGCTACCACTGAGGAAGAGTAGGAAGAGGTTTCAAAAACACGAGCAACCCAGCCCACGTCTCAAAAACATAACCAAGGCAATGTAACCTAATTTACACTGCTGTCATTGACAGGCAGAGGCTGGGGGCTTTTCCTGCTTTGCACGACAACTGAACTCATAGTGTCTGGAACAGCCTCTCATCCTCTGTATCAAAAGATAAACTGTCCTTGAAATCTCTGAGGTCTGACCACCCCCCGCTGCCCATCTTTGAAAGGAAGCCATGTAATTAGCTGTATCTGCTAGCGTACGTTGCTTTAACAAATCAAGAGCTAACATTTATTAAGCATTTGCCATGTGCCCATCACTGTGCCAACTACTATACATACGCACAGGCACATACACACGTGCTTTGCGGTCCTTATTATGATCCTTATTTCACAGATGAAAGACATTGAGGCTCAGAGCTTGGATAATTTTCTCAACCGGAGTTTGAATCATTTTTCTCTCCCTGAACATGTAGTGTCTGTCCTTACTTTGAAGAGCTACGGTGGCTTGAAAACCTATCAGTGAAATCCGCTCACAACCTAACCTTAAGAAAACACAACCCTATCTAGTTGTACACATATATAATGATCTTCACCTTGGCTCCTGCCTTAAAAACAAACTTGGAGGAGAGAAACCAGGGCAGGATCAAGCATCTTACACTCTTCCATCAAGGCTAAATGTTTTTAATGATGAACAAACAGCAGCAGGTATTTTCCTTGTAAAATTAATCAATTCGTGTCAACACATCATGCCAGTGCTACAGCTGTGCCAAGCAAGTGAATGACAGGTGTGTACGCATAATCTATCCACGCAGTCCCCCCAAAGCACCTGCCCAGCTGTCACCGTTCATCATTGTTACAAAAGCTCAGACACAACTGTGCTCCCAGGAAGGTTTATCCAATCAGCAGTTGGAGGACACTTTAGTTCTCTCTTTTGCAGACCATTTCTCACATCTGGTTCCAGGAAAAATGCTTGTTCTTTGACTGATGAATGCTTAACCATTTTCCGTTCTGGCTTACAACTTGGAACTGAATCAAAAGACCATCAAATCCACTAATGCCCAGCCGTGGTAGACAAAGGCTGGGATAAGCCAAGGCAGAGCCCCCTAGAGAGCACCACAAACCCAACAAACCAGAATGCCCAGGGATGGAACCACTAGCCCAGGAGAGCCATCTCTCTGTCATCTGGGATTTTCAGCCGCTTCTGCAGTGCTCTCCGCCATTTTCAATGAAGCGATAACTAAACATCCTATAGTTCTTCCCTAAACGCTAGAAGATCCTCAGGTACCTCGAGAGTTGCCAAGGATTAATTATAATTTAAGAGTTAAATGCACTTAATGTAGCCCTATTACTAAACAATGGTATCCAAGGATGATGTCTGTGATAACTGCCACTTTATTAGAGTATGCATTTGAAAATCAGAACTTCCTTGCTTCCAGTCATCCTGGAGAATAGAACATTCACAACACACCTAAGTAAGAATCACTTGCTGTAAATAATTTCCAGTAGAATTTCAGAAAAATACACTTTGAATGGAATTTTGATATGACCAGACGTTTCAAGTGTTATAAAAGTTCAGCCAATCCCAAACCCCGGAAGTTCCAGATCATCATAATTTAATGATCTGAAGCTTAAGATTAAAGGCTGTACAACCTCTCCCTTCAAGCAAGCACTCGATGAAGAAAATACCAATAGAAGGGTGTCTGAAATGGCTGAGACTCAAATGGATGAAAAGAAAGATTAAAACAGACTGCAGAGAAGAGAGGGGGAAAAAAAAAGCAGGGGTTCAGAGAGCGTGGGTGAGGTGGGAACTTCGGTGAATGAGGATGAGCAGGAGGAGACATATGCAGAATTCGAGGCAGGATCCAGAGTTGACAAAGGTCTGAGGTCCAGAAACCAGGAAGGGAAGTAGGTTGGAGGGTTTATGAGGCAGGGAAGTAGAGATGTGCTTTAATTTTTTACAGTTCTCAAGAGAGTCTACTGTCAATTTTCATATTCAGCGAAGTGCAATAACAGCGGACCACACTTTGGTGTTAAGCTAAAACTGGGGCACCTGGTGTGGTGACAAACGACCACACCACCCCAGTGCACTCACCGGCCGTTGTCTCGGCCCACGCCCCACACGCGGATGCTCACGATGGGCTGCGAGTGGAGGACAGTGCGGTCCATGGGGTCCACCAGGCTGAGCATGTCATTCTCCAGGATCAGGTACATGTCCTTCCCCTGGGAGCCAACGAGAAAACACGTCACCTTCCTCTTGAAGCTATACATCCTCATCATGTTTGTGGCTATCTAGGGATGTCATTTCAACAATCAAAAGAAGCCACCCCTTGCCTCTATAACTTGTTTTTCTAAGAGAGAAATATCCTTTTCTGACTAAAATATTCGTAAATCTTTCATATCCCTCTCACATACCCAATTTCTCTTTCCCTCTCCAAGTCCTCTGAAATGTGTCCCTAAGCCTGGCTTTTTAGCTGGCTCTTATTTTTAATTATTTACACTTCTGAATCTTTACTCTAAGAAAAAAGGCTAATGGCAGGTTCCCTGGAGAATCTGGCCTTGTACTAACTCACGCCCGTTGTCCTCTCACAAGCCCCCTCCCCTCAGGCTTCCCCTCAAGTCAGACCCCACCGGGCAACCCCTTGACGGCCCTCACAGGCCCACAACGACGTCCATTTCTTCTCAACTTTTACACCACTTCATATCTGTGTGATGTGGCTGGCAGATGGCAGGGGCAGCGTTGTGACATTTCTCGGTACTACAATAACTAACATTTATATGACTTTATCACATCCCAGATATTATGCCACATGCTTAAGGTACACTGGCCCATGAACTCTCTAACGTGCCCTGAGAGCTTGGTTTGTTACCCTCTCCAATTAGCAGCTGGGGAAACTGAGGCTTAAAGGTTAGGTAATTTGCTCAAGGTTGAACAGAGAAGCTGTGATGCCTTCAGCTACACGGGCGCTACTGTAATACCAACGTGGGGGAGGCCGAGGTTTCTCGTCTCTTGCATTGCTCTTCAGGTTTTCAGGTTTTGGTCTCCTGTCTCCCCACCCCCACCGTGTATGTTGGCTCTTTGAGGGCAGAAATGCTAGGCTATTCAAATTCACTCCCCTTGCAGACCTTCAGGCATCATTTTAAGAAATTATCGAACATTTGCTGTACAACTGAAAGACTGTGTCTCCTGAAGGCGTCGGTCAGCCCAGATGCTGAGCATTGAAGCTACGGAGGCCTAACAGGGCAGAACAATGGGTTTCTTGGTGGATCTTCAAATCCCAAAGTGGGACAGACAAACTGTTCTTTGGTCTGGTTTTTGAGAATGATGTTTTAGGTTCCCACCCAAGGTTCTCAGAGTGAACATAAGCTCTGCTGTTCAGGGGCAGACATGGGTACCTCAGAGCGTCTGCTGGCCAGTGTTTAAGTTGAGAGCCTATGACTGAGATCCAGGATGACCCGAAATCTTCCTGAAGGGCAGGAAAGCCATTTCCAGATGAGAACACTGGCAGAAAACACAACTTGTGCCAAACTTGCAGCTGCACCGTCTCCACAGAGCCCGCAGCAACAGGCTGCAGGCCACCTCAGACCTACGGTGCCCCCAGTGTCTCCGCTGGGGAATTGCAGCTCATTTGGCTTGCTGCAGAGCAGGGCCTCTGTCTGTCGGCACGTCAAGGTCACAGCTGTGTCCAGACCCTTGGCAAAATGCCAACTCTTAATTACCCAGTTTGTAGATTAATCACGATGAAGGTGCAGGTCCTGAGAGATTCAGTTTCCCAGCACCTCATGGAGGAGGGTAACTGGCCAGTAGCTAAGCAACGGTCGGCAGAGCCAAGGAGAGGAGCCAAGCTACAGAGGTGGGCTGCAGTCCTCCACCCCATCCTTCCACTAGAGGCTGCGCTCCTTTCCTCCAGCCTTTAGTTGAGGGCTGCCATGCAGCGTGCTCAGGAGCTGCATGATCACAGAGCCCTGGACAGCTGGGAACCAGAGAGCAGAGCAGGTCCCAGGTCCCCCAGGGTCAACCAGTGATGTGCTCTGGGATAACGGAGAGCTGTCTGGGGTGTCTTGGTGCCTTCTCCTCCTCTTCTCTCTTTGTCCCTTCCCACCAGGAATTGAGCATTGACTGCAGCCTAAGACCTTCAGCCAGACCCACTGTGGGGTGGCCCCCAGTACAACTCCCACTTGGTAACTCCCTTCTGCGCAGAAGGGGTGTTTGCTTTATGGCAAACACCTTGCAGGTACTAACAGACTCTGAAAGGCTTTGTTTTAGCGATGTTAAACATGCTTTCTAGATGTGACCCATAGCGAGGTCAAGTCCCCCCTCACAGACCTAGGCGATGCATTTCCCTTGGGTTGATTCAGCTTAGAAACCACAAACGGTCCCCCTAAAGGCAACAAAGACTGTCTTCATCAACTAACTCTGCCGACAATCTTTGCATTATTGGACAGAACCAATGACACCTACCAGCGGGTAATCTAAGATAAGAATGGCTGGCTGAGTGTGGAGTGTCCCTGAATGAAAACACCTCGTGGCTTTTCCTGAGTTCATTTAGCACACTTGTGTCTTCCCACATAGACCCTTTCAGTTTTCTCATCAGCACACAGCAGCTCCTGGTTGACCACTGTAAAGTCCTGCTAATTGGTTTTTGTTACCAAAACAACCAACGCTTATGCAGATATCATCTAAAGAGGAGAAACTCATCCGAAAGTCATGACTTTATTTTCAGCCAGCCATTTAACAAACATTTAAGAAGTCGTGCTGTGTGTGCTGAGGCATGGCAAAAAGTCATAGCTCATAACCCTAAGCATCGAGTTGTACTCTATATACTATGAACTAGAAACACTGACTGAAAAATTTATTGTTCCAGAGGGAGAGGAAAGAACTGAGAAAAATAGAAATGGCCTAGGGGTCTAACTAGGGGGGAAGGCATAGCAGATTTTCAGGCATGGCTGCCCCCCATATCCCCATCTAAAGCACTTTGTCCTGTTGGAATCCTGCCAATTGGAGATTCCTTTACAATCTTACTAAGCTCTTCTAAAATGGCAAATATCTGGTGGTATTCATCATTCTCTCATATATTAGTATAAATTATGCCAACCTTCCTTCTAAATCATAGCTGACATTTGTTCCTTTGACAGAATAGCATTTTGACTGAAGGAGAGAGAAGACAGGTGGATAATGTGGTGGGAAAGACAGGCCTGGGTTTTTGGGTGGGAGGTAATGTAGTAAAAGGATATAAAGGCAAATACCAAAAAAGTGTCCTTTTCTTGGACAGGAGAACATTCTCTCTCTTCTCCCCTCATGCCTGGGATCTAAAAGTCTGGTTGGCAATGCAGCTCAGTTCCATTCTAAGGTACAAGGACTCCACCATGGGAAGCTCCCTCCCACCATGACAGTGCTGCTAGGATAAAATGTGACTGGAGCTCCAAACAGCCCAATCAGAAAGCAAACTTCCGCTACCAAAGCTCTGGGGATGGACCGCATGGGGTAGATTCACACAGCAAGCACTGTTCCAAGACCCTCCCCATATACTTGTTCTATAGGTTTCAGAGCACGGTGGGAATATGGCTTTTCCTGTTTCATATGATTTTTATATAAATTTGGTATTTTTATTTATTACTTTCCTTTCTGAAATTATCTCAACTAACATTTCAAAATGGAATTACTTTTTTCATGGTGAGAAAGAGTATATAGGTACCAAGCCCAAAACTCATGTATAATGTTGATTTTCAGATTATAAATATAAAGAAGAATGTGTTATAAAAGGATGATGTGTCAACTTTTAGAGCAGGGGCATCAAAACTTTTGTATGTATGTGGGGGCCACATACTCCTCTTTGAGAATATACTTTGAGAGAGGCATGGGTCTTCTTCCTGGAAAACTGCTTTTAGATACTGGCACACCCAATTTTGCATGCAAGTTTAGGGGGTTTCTGGGCCCTAAAGTCCATCCATGGATCCCTGGGGGCTTGGGGACCCCAGGTTAGACCCTGTCATTTAGACACCGAGAGATGGTCTCTCCCAGGGACCCGGTCCTCACTGGGATCTGGCAGCATTAACAGATAAATCACCCTGCCCACACTACCTGCCTTTACGGGAAGAAGCAACTGCTCAATACCTTCAGTGCCCTGACCATCATGTCTCACAGAGCCCTGGGGTTTCAGGAAGCACAGCGGAACCTAAACAAGCCTGCCATTAATTATTTCCACCTGTTACTTACCTCTCCCCAGATGCCGACTGTATCTCGGATGTCATTTTTGCAGTAAGAAAGCTGCCTGATGCAGTTGTTGACTGCCACACTACTTTTACCAGGGGCGAGGTCCTCCTCTGCCATTTCCACCCAGCCCAGAGAGCGCACGGCAAAACACTAGGAGACAGAGTCAGAGAACAGGAAATTACTCATTGGTCACAGGTCAATCTCTGTCAATTTACCCTAAAATTCTCTACAGGCATGCTTAATGCATCTTTAATTGCTACATAATGTTCAATCATCAATATTCAATCATCTAATCAGCTATCATTGAAAATTAAATTGTAACTTTTGTGCTATTAAAAAAAAATGTAGTGATAAATATCTTCTTGCCTAACTTGTGTGTGTGTGTTCAGATTTTTTGCTAGAATAGATTACTAGAAGTAGAATTATAGGGCTAACAGGTATAAAAATTTCTAAGCTCCTTTATTTATTATGAGGTAGTTTTTTTTATAGTAAGAAATGTAACCCCCATGAGATCTGTTATTTGTTACTCACCTAGAAAAAGACAATAGGAAAGAAAATGAATTAAATATGTTAGGCACTAGTTTCTAATAATAATAAAGCAAAATCTATTCTCTAATACCAAGAAATGAAGAAAAAAGGGGAAAAATGTGCCTTCATGATAATAAGTCTCAAATCCTATAGCATTTGTTATTAGCACCAAATCCTGAAAAGCCTGCAGAATGGGGGGCTTATGAGATACCTTAAAGCACAAATCCCATTTATTCTTTTATCATTTAGAGACATTTTATTTGAGACCACGCTCCTTGTCTTCCTTTTTAAAGTTCAGTTATTCAATTTTTTTAAAATATGAAAAGTACTGTATGCATATTGCAACAAGTAAAAAATCCAAAGACGTACAGAGAAAAATTCATGGGAGATGTGAGGGTGATTTGGCTACAGCATCCACCTTGCAGGTCATCGCCAGGGTCGCAGATGGCCGGAATTGAGGTCCCTCAGCCCCGCTGCGGCCCCGGGCCCATCACCCCTCTCTGTGGCCCAGGGTCCCATCCAAGCAGCACAGCAGTTGAAGAGACCACACTCCCAGGACAGGAAGGAGAGACAAGGAGCCTCACCTCCGTGGGAGCCAACAGCATGGTGCCCAAGAAACACCCTATCAAGCTTCCGAAAGTGAACTTCATAATAAAATGCAGAACTGCAACACACCATCCCAAAGTCACCACATTCAGTCTAGTTCAGCTTCCTCCTCAGCCCCCAGGCCCAGACGGGATGCCTCCTTCCTGATTACACTAACTACACTTTCTCAGGGGGAAAAAATACCAAAGACAATCCATTTAAGTGAACAGCATGCAGAGCCTCACGTCCTAGAGGGGGGAACCGAGGCACCTGTGTAACCACCTGGAGCGGAACAGCTGCCGTGTGCTGACGGTGCCTTTTACAGATGCACCAAGAGAGGGTCGTCCCCGAGACAGCTGCACAGCTACTCAGGACCCTGCGTCCTGGGGAAAGACCCGGGAGATGCCCTCAGGTTTCATCTGCCCACAGGTATCTGCTGCAGTGAACCTGCTCCAAGGGGAAGAGGAGGCCCACAGGCACGGGGGCTGGCTCGTGACCCGTCGAGGGCTGGCCTCTGGTCAGCAGCTGGGACGTTTCTTAGCTGGTCTGCCTGCCCCTCCTGCAGCTCTGTTTCCCGAGCCCCAGACCAGACTGTGATTCTCCAGGTGGACACGTCAGATATGCCACAGGTGCACACCACAGCACATGTTCCCCGTTTGATCAGGACCCACAACTTCACGGGTCTATGCCCGTGAGTACCTCTTTTCCACTTCCTCCAGGGAGCACCGTGTAGCTCACTAACCTCCCACCCTGTTGCTTCCCATCATGGTCCTTAGTAAAATCACAATGCCACCATCTACTCCCTGGCCTGCCATTTTGATCTTGTTACCTACCACCTCTAGCAGCCCCTCCTGCCTCAAAAAAAAACCAGAAACTCTCTTGATTTGGAGAAAATTACATTACAAAATTACATAACCTACTTGAATAGTAGAAAATAAGCACAGCATAGTTGTATCATTTGACACAGCAAACAAGGATTGTTCAAACACCAAAGGTATTAACTCAATCCAATCCTCACCTCAGCCCTTTGAGGTTGATACTAAGTTACTGTACCCATTTTACAGATGAGGAAAGGGACTGAAGCACAAAGCTAGTAACTGGTGGACCTAGGATTCAAACCTGGGCAGTCTGACTTCTGGTCTCCCACTCATAACCACTCTGCTACATGACTGAGATTTTACTGGAGGGACAGCGTCAGATGGGGCCAGGCCCACAAAGAAGACTCAAGATCACAGGAGGCGATGTCAATACAGTTTTGAGCATATATGGCTCAAGCGTGTGGATAGCCAGGATTCGAATCTGAGCTCTCACTTACTGGCACTGTGATCTTGGGCAAGTAATTTACAAAGTCCCATTTTTTTTTTCATTTGTAAAAATGGAAATAACAATAATAGTTATCTCAGAGGAGAAAACAGAACACAGGTAGAGAGCCCAGCACACAGAAAACACTCAATGAGCATTTGTTGAATGAAAGAGCATACGAATACAGTGCCACATAAATCTTAACTGGAATCATCAAAGGGGGGAAATGAAAGGAGCAGATTTGTAATTAGCGTGACCGCACATTCCAAATGTCCCCAGGATAGTGCTGGTTTATGTTTGTTGTTCTGGCAAAACTATTATGAGCAGCTCTTTTTACTCTCAAAGGTGTTCCAGTTTGGATAATAAATTATTATAGTCACCGTAGTCAAAATTCCAGTGAATTCAGCCTCTAGCATGGAACCTGAGGCTTGGACCGGGGACAGTGAGATACGTCCAAGTGGAAATGGGGTTCAAGATGGACAGAAGCTGCTAACGGTACAGCGTTCGGTGAGGCTGGAGAGGGTGTGGGGGGAGGGGGGAGCCCTAAGACAACAGTATTACTGTGGGATGGATGGTCATACACCCTTCAAACTAGAAGCCAGGAACACATTTTCCCAATTCCTCTAATTGCCTACTACAAAACCCTACGACCTGTGAATACTCAAAAGAATTTATTAACAATAAGGAAGGTAAAAAGGATTACTGGCTGCTTTTTGTCCGTTGAATCCAAGAACGCATGGATTTCAAACTAAACAAGCTCATTAAAAATCATGGGTATCTTTTTTGGCTGAGAAATGGGAATCACTCAACCCCACCACAGTACCTTATGTACAGTCAGCCCTCCTGTCCAAGGGGGATTGGTTCCAGGACCCCTGTGGATACCAAAACCCACGACGCTCAAGTCCCTTATATAAAACGGTGTAGTATATGCATATAACCTATGCACATCTTGCCATATGCTTTAAATCGTCTCTACTTATAACACCTAATACAGTGTAAAATGCTACGTAAATAGCTGTTATATTGTTCAGAGAATAATGACAAGGAAAAAAGTCTGTACATATTCAGTACAGATGCGACCCTGGTAGGCCTCTGGATTCGTGGCTGGCTGAATCCGCGGATGCAGAACCCGCAGATGCGAAGGGCCGACTGCATATTGTTTGTCCTGCTGATAAAAAGAAAACAAGACTTCCAACTAAATTATTATAATGAATTTATTTTAAGTAATTTTCCTTGTGCAATCCTGCTGTTGTTATAACTTAGCCTCTGATCTGAAAAGCTTCTTCACCGGTCCACGTGGCCAAAGTAAGAGAAAACAGTTGTAGGCGGAACAACCGAGCTCTACCGGGGGCAGCTCGGCTTCCTCCCAAACAACCAAGAGGCAAATAGCAACCTGCACTGTTTGGTGCTGCCCCCGTGTGGCCAGGAAGGTTTATAACCACCACCACTTTTCATTAAACTCAGGAAATCATGCTTGTTTAGTGTAGTCAGCTCTGGGAATAAACACTCGTTTGAGAGTATGGGAAGAGCTCACAATAGTCAATCAAAAATTTAATCGACCTAACTTTTAAAATACTTTTTTCAATTTTTTAAAAAAAAATCAACATTTGCACGTCGATGCTCATTTTTCAATAGCTCTTTACCAAAAGGGCAAAAATGAGCAATGGTTCAGGGTGTGGACTGTGTCATCAGATGGATCTGGATTCAAGCCACAACTTGCTACTTATCAGCTGTTGACTTTGGGCAAGTCCCTTCAGGTCTCTAAGTCTCAGTTTCTTCATCTGTAAAATGGGAATAATAACAGTACCTATACTTTATAGTTGTGAGGACTAAATGAGATAATGCAGGTAAAGTGCGTGGCATGGTGGCATACAGTAAAAACTCAATAAATGTTTACTACATTATTGATAAATTTTAACTCTTTTCTATGTGTGAATTTTAAAGATTTCTCTGGTTTAACAATTTCAGGCAAAGCTAACATGTGAAGGAGATGTACTGCAGATCATGGTACATGTGAACATACCACCTGGAGGTCTTTGTTAAAACACAGAAAACTAGACCCTATCCCCAGAGTTTCTGATTCAGTCCGTCTGCGTAGGGACCATGAATCTGCATTTCTAACAAGCTCCCAGGGGATGCTGAAGTTGCTGGTCTGGGGACCACAGTTTGAGAACCACTGCTGTAGACAGATGGCCCAAAGGCATGCTGTCCTAAGACTGGTCCCGAAAGGAACCTCTGGGTGGAAATCCCAGGACTGCCACTTATATTTGGGCAAGTTAGTTAACCTCTCTGTGCCTCAGTTTCCTCCAGTAAGGTGGATACTAAAAATACCTGTCTCACAACAACCTATCACACGTGGGAGGATTAACTGGGTAGAGTTTGCAGCTTCTGTTGCTGTTGTCGGTTATCATGGGCACTAAAGGGGACGGGGTCACGGCTGCATCAGAAGGCACACGGCTCTTGGCCAGAGGCTTCCTTCTCTCCCCTCTGTCCTCTCCTCCCCTGCACTAGAATCAAGCTGTCATATCTTGGTTGGAAACACACATCTTGTTTCAACTTCTATTTCTTTGAGTCCTACATTAATAGAGACAGATGCCTGGAGAGAAGCTCTTCCTCAAACATGTGTAGAGAGACAGAACAGGGCAAAACAGGGCAAAGCCTCGGTTTCTACGGCCCAGTGGTCCTGGGTTTGAATTCCTATATTCCCATCAACGGGGCTCAGCCTCCATGAATCTAGGTTTACGCAGTTAAAAAGTGATAATAGTACTAGGCCCACAGAGCTGCCAGGAGATCCACAGGAAATGAGGAAGGGAAGCAGTGGGCACAGGGTAGGCCCTCAGCAAATGTTCACTTTCTTCTCTTATCTCTGGCTCCAGAAGACTCTCTTTTCATTCTTTATTTGCCCACAGGCCTTCCACTTTTCCTTCCCCTGAGCTTTGCGAGGGCAAGCAAGGAGAGAGCATGCTGGCAGAAAACTGGGGGGGCCTTGTCCTTGGACTGTCAGGTAGGACGAGATGGGATGTGGGGAGAGAGGAGGGAAGTGGAACTCTCTAGTGACTCCTCTACTGTATAAGCCTCACCTCCATCCAGGCAAGCCCGCTTTGGTGCACAGCAGCCAAGATGGGGCGTAAACGAGTTATTGTCCCCGAAGCTGCACATTCAATGCCCAGCACACAGTGGGTGCTCTATAACCATTGAGGGATAATGACAAAAACATAAATGATCCTTGAATTGACAGCAACACTGAAGTATAGATATTAAAAAACTGAGAGTTCACAGAGAAAAGCTACAATTTGGTCTAGCACTACAAGTGTAATCCTAATTAACACTCATTTATAAGAATTACTTATCATTTCAGCCTAATTACCCTGCAGCACAATAACAATTGTGTATTCAAGTCCATAAACATTTATTGAGTGCCTATGAGTTCCTAGAGACAGAGAGCAATGAGTCAGACACAGCTCCGCTCTCGAGAACTCGTAACAGAGTGGATGAAGCGGGAATCTATAACATCACAATGTGAAATAAGGGGACACAGAGGCACACATGCATGTCAGTTGCTCACAGACGGAGGAGTTTAACTCAGAGAGACGGAGTTACAGACAGCTTCCTGAAGGATGTGGTACTGAGCCGAGCCTTGTAGGATGGATGGATTCATTTATTTAACAAATATTTACTGACTCCTACTATATGCCAAGTACTGGAGACACATCAATGAGCCAAAAAGACCAAATGCTCTGCTCTGAGTAGTATGTCAAAAAACTGGAAAGGCATATTCATTTGGCTGTGACACCAAAGGTCACACAGCTCCGCTGACATGAACCAAGACAAGTAACGTACAATGGGGAGAGGCAGTGAGCATAGTGGCCCAGGGCCCAGGTTTTCAAGTCACTGACCTGGGATCAAATCCCAGGCTGGCCACTTATTAGTCATGTGATCCGAGCCAAGTTACTTAATCTTGTCGAGCCTCAGTTTCCTCATCTGCTGCAGTGAGATAATGGTATGGACCTCCTAGGTACTGGCATGATTAAATGCGATGGCTTATGCTAAGTACCTTTATAGGGCCTGGCCCAAAGGAGATGGTTGAGAAGAGCTGGTCACTGTTTTCTCAAGGTATCTGATCCCTGCCAAATGTGCCAGGATTGGGGAAGGCTGCCAACAAGCAGCCAGTCAATCCTGCTTTGTTTTTCCAACTAGCGATCAAGTGTCACTAAGGATATCCCTTGGGTGACTGGGGGCAGGGCGAATCACAGGGCCGGCCGAGGACCTGGGAGGGAGATCCATGGATGGGCTTCGGGAAGTTCTTTTTTTTTTTTTTTTTTTTTTTAAATTTTTTTTATTTTTCCCCCAAAGCCCCAGTGGATAGTTGTATGTCATAGCTGCACATCCTTCTAGTTGCTGTACGTGGGATGCGGCCCCAGCATGGCCGGAGAAGCGGTGCATCGGTGCGCGCCCGGGATCCGAACCTGGGCCGCCAGTAGCGGAGCGCGCGCACTTAACCGCTAAGCCACGAGGCCCGCCCAGGCTTCGGGAAGTTCTAAACCTCCTGAAAATACATCCAAAATTGTGTGCATGTTTGCATATTATGGAAAGAAAGTCCAAAGCTTTCACAAGCTTTCCAAAGGCTCTGAGAATATGAAGGACTTTAAAAGAATTCCAAGGAGGTTGAATACCAGGGTATTCACTCATCAAGACACCAATTAAGGTACATGTACTGGGGGTAGAGAACTGCTCTGCGGAGACCTTTTATACCTGTGCTCTTGGGATCAGGTGGAAAAAAAGCATGTATTCTTGCTATATGTGACTATGAAGAGGGACCTTTTTAATAATCATATAGCTTACATATGATCCGTAAGAGTATCCTTTTTTATTTCATGCTGGTGGCCAGAATAACGTGGCCATTTAGGGTACATTCATTACCTTTGATATCCTGTGTTCTGGGATGTTTCCTTAAGAGTTAGGAACAGCCCTTCCTTTCACTTTCCAGCGACTGTGAGCATTAGAGACAGCACAGACCTGATTTCTGCCCAGAGGCCAGTCTTCTGACCCGTCCAGATTTCGGGGAGAAATAAAGCAGCCAGTAAGCAAAGGGCTGTGACCTCAGATGACTTTCACAGAGTCTGTTGTAAAAACGCGCAGGCTTTTCAAGGTCCAAAATATACTCCCTGGACATTGCCTCCCTAACAGGGAAGTCTCTATAAAATCAGTGTTTGTGGTCATTACCTATAGGAATGTAGATCATTGTCATTACGGACACAGTTTGAAATAAAATTAGGCTTTATTTGCTATTGCTTTTCTCTGAAACACCGAAAGGCTTTCCAAATCCAGCATCTCAGTGGGATCTGCGGGAGAGGTGTCTGGGGACTCCGCAGTGGAGACTGACCCAGTTCTCCATCCGGCTGAAGCAACGAATCAGCCTGATTAATTTTTCAGTGTGGCAATGACCTCAGCAGCCAGGGAGGACCCAGGAGCATTTCTACACTGACTCCAATGAAAGCTTCAGCTGTTCCTGCTGTTTCTCTCCAACTGTGGACAACACAGTGAGCATTCGGGCAGAAAACAAGACGCCTGGCCCTTTGGGGCCCTGGGCCCACTAGTGCCATTTACTTAATTTTCCTCCCTTTCTATTTTTCAGAACAAGACAACCCTACTGGAAAAGTACACTCTATGCTAATATTCTACGCTCACGGGTTCTTCTACAAAGAGGACAGTCATAATAGCTCACATCCATGTGGTGCTTACAAGGTGCCAGGCACTAAAGACTGATCTGTAATTGAAGCACTGTCAACTGCATCCATCTCTGCCTCCTCGCCCACTACTGGCTGTTGGTTCATGGAGGCTGGTTCCCAGCCCAGGTCACCTCTGTCTCTAGTAAATAATAGGCTCTGTCCCTAGTAAATGCTCTGGAAACTTGCAAGGTCAGGGGGCAGGAATACCAACCGCATTCTCTATATTTGGGAAATGCCTCAGAGCACACGCAATTATAGGGACTCAAGGCTAAATTATTTAAATTTAAGGGGGAAGACGCAGCACAGTTAAGAAGCAGCGCCTTCAGTCTTCCCTCACGCCCAACGTGGAGCCATGCAGGTTTCCGAGATTTACGGCGTCAGTGATTTTAACCCCTCACATGAAAATGGAAGGATTCTTTCAAAGCTGATGCGTCTTTATTTCTGCCCTCTCTGTGCCATTCCCAAGTCAGCTCCTGCCTGCGACGACTGTTCCTAAACGTTGCCCCTGCTATACGGAAAGTGCTTGCTGACTCGTCACTACACAACACTGAGAAAAGCAACCCTTCTGAGATTTATAGGAACCGAGGTTTGAGCCACTGATGTGCTGAAGAGAACGTGTGAGGGTGGTCACACTGGAGTGGACTGAGACGTGGTTCTGCACATACTTTAAATGTTTAACTGTCACTGGGGAGTCTTTGCTTCCCCACTCTTATTTAGAGGAAACAAAAGCTCCCATTCCTTCTCCCTGAGAGGTCTCTCTGGGAAGGATGAGACGGTCCAACTGGGCAGGGCAGTAGCCTGGGCTCCTTCCTGTCCCTCAAGTGGCCAGAGGAGGGCGGGGTGGATTCAAAAAGGCCGATGGTCTGAGGCCACGCTGGGGAGTGGGACAGTGCCACTGCACTGCATTTAGGCTTTTTATTTAAGACTCAGTTTGCACAGCACTGAAATCATGACGTCAACATGTTTTGCTTTTCATTTAAGACACAAAATATGCATTTTTGTGTGGCAATGAAATCATGACATCAATATGTCTTCAACACATTTCTAAGTATTATTATCTTAAAAGCAGTATTCTCACTAGTACTTAGGTGAGGGGGTTTCAGAATTAGAATGAGGAGGGAGGGAATTTCCATTTATTGAGCTCCTCTATCAGAGGTGCTTTATTAGTTATCTAATTAATTTAGTTTAATTCTCACAACCAAGTGAAAGAGGTATTCCCCCCATTTTTGAGAAGAGAAAACAGACTCCTAAAGGAAGCCTGGCAAAAAATCTGACTTGAGGTACTGTGGTAGTCATACGTAACCCTAACACTTGTGAATGTGGTGGTGAGGAGGGTACGGGGGTGGGGGAAGACTGAGGTGGCAGAGAGGAGTGACACACATGCATTTATTAGAAGTATGTGTGTGTACACTACACACTGAGTAGGATAAACTCACTTCTCTTGTGTGTCTCCTTTACTCCTCACGTAGAACACATCACTTCTGACACTTCTGGTCACCAAATGTGTGGGGTTTTCCCCACACCAAGCAATTCTCTACAACACTCACTGGCGTCCTACAATTCAACTCAATTCTGACACTACATGGAGATTCCACTGGTTAAGGGCTCAGTCCACAAGACCTCCCCCTCTACATACACACTTCAGATGGCAATCACGAGGCCAGGTTGTCACCTGTGCTCTGACTGGCTATAAATCAGAGGTTCCCACGACCTCCTCCTTGGGTTCTATTAATCTGCCAGAGCAGCTCACAGAACTCAGGAAAACAATTTACTCACTAGATCACTGGTTTATTACAAAGGGTATAACTCAGGAACAGCCAGATGGAAGAGGGCAAGGTATGTGGGAAGGAGGGCAGAGCTTCCATGCTCTCTCTGAGCACACCACTCTCCCAGTGCCTCCCCATGTTCACCAACTCAGAAGCTCTTTGGGCCCTGTACTCTTGGGATTTTTATGGAGGCTTCATCACACAGGTATGATCAATCATTAACTCCATTTCCAGCCCTTCTCCCCTCTCTGGAGAATGGGGGTGGGGGGCAGGCTGAAAATTCCAAGCTTCTAATCATGGCTTGGTCTTTCTGGTGACTGGCCCCCATCCAGGAGCCCCCCAAGGGTCACCTCATTAGAACAAAAGACACTGCTATCACCCAGGAAAGTCCAAGGGATTTAGGAGCCCTCTGTCAGGAACTAGGGTCAAAGACCAAACATTAGAACAAAAGACGCTCCTAGTGCTCTTATCACTTAGGAAATTACAAGGGTTTTAGGAGCCAGTGCCAGGAACCAGTGACAGATATATATATATGCCAGATACTTTCTTTTACATATTTAATCAACTTAATCCATATGGTAACATATGAGATAGATGTTATTATTATTCCTATATTACAGATGAGGAAACTGAGGCACAGGGTGAGTGTTATGGACTGAACTGTGTCCCTTCAGAATGCATATGTTGAAGCCCTAATACGTAACGTGGCTGTATTTGGAGATGGGGCCTATAAAGAGGTAATTAAGGTTAAATGAGGGCATAAGGGTGGGGGCCCTAATCCAATAGGACTGGTGTCTGTATAAGAAGAGGAGGAGACACCAGGAATGCGCACACACAGAGAAAAGGCCAAGTGAGGACACAGAAAGAAGGTGTCCATCTGCAAGCCAAGGAGAGAGGCCTCAGGAGAAACCAAACCTGCCAACACCTTGATGTTGGACTTCCAGCCTCCAGACTATGAGAAAAAAAACTTGTGTCATCAAAGCCACCCAATCCATGGTATTTTGTTATGGCAGCCCGAGTAGACTGACATAGTGGCATATAAACTTAAGGTAACCAGCTAGCATATGGTGGAGCTGGCATTCAAACCCAAGTTTATATACTGACAAATTCCTGTCACCATGCCACGCTGCCTCCTAGGAGCAGCAACCATGCTGGCTTTCCTAAAGGAGAGAGAGAGAAGGGCAGGCATACCTCACTCTACACCTGGGGACCTCAGAGAGGACCTATAACCCCACATGTGCACAAGCCCTCGCTCCACAGTCTTAAGTACTCAACAGCTAGACCAGGCTGATACCACAGGTCAGGGAGGCCTGGTCCCATTCTAAAGAGGCCCCAGAGAATTCAAGGCCAGGAGCACACTGAGGAGAAGGAAATACCCCCAGATATGGAATGAGTACTTCAAAGCCCCCCAGGTCTAGACTTATTGCTTCAGGCTGGCCCTGAGACTTCTCAGAGGTATGTCAGAGCCTCCACAACAGGCACTAAGCACTGAGGTGGTCTGGGTGACCTCACACACACTGTCCACCAGGGGGCGCCATCACCCTTCCTCCCTTCACTCCTCCCTTCATCGGCTCCTCGCCACCCTTCCCAACCATTTGTTACCCACGGTAACAGATCACGGGAGGTAAGGAGTCTCCACGGAGGCAAAGGAAATACAAGTGCAGTCAACTGCCTGATGCCTGTGCTCTCATCCCTCCAGGCCACAGCACTGCTGTTCCGAGAAGGCCTAGGGTTGTGAAGCTCAAGGGGCAGCCCAGCGTGGGGCTGAGGGCTCTGGGTCTCCTCAGCCAGAGTCCTGCTCCTTCTCTTAAACGAAAGGCTTTCTGCCGCTAGAGAAAGCCCAGCGTTCCATGGCAGTGACAAATCATTTACGATGCCTGGTCCACAGCCACTCTCGTTAATCTGCTGAGTAGGGTGAACTGTCACCACATTATGAGCCATATATATACATTTAAAAGCAAAAACCAGAATGTCAACTTATTAATTTACAGAGAGAAATGTAAGTCTGACCGGATGCTCTGGGTGGCTAACAAGAGGAGTCAGTCTCTGGAGGAAATGCACTCCAGTTTTTTAACACCAGCCCACTGCAGGCTGATGAGCAAAGAACTAAGCAGAGGAGCCCCTTCAACATCTTCATGGCCAGGAGCCTCGGAGATTCATCACCGGTGCCAAAGACAGGCCTCCAGGCTGTGTACGTAAACAGTTAATTGCATTAGTCACTTCCTGCCCAGGAACCAGGCCGGCATTATGAGGCCTATTTTTATCAATGGAAAAGTTGAGCGGAGGTGGGTTCAACCAAGAGCCTTAGCCCAATGTTTCCTGAATGCCACAGAACAAATTACGTGTACGTGCATATTTAAACATAAACTTGTAGGTACATTGCGTTAGACATCTTCACATATAATCATCATCATCTTTCTAGCAGTGACCATTTATCAAGTGCTTACTCTGTGCTGAGTCTAAATGCTACACGTGATACAACATGTAGCCCATGTTCTCGCAACCCTACAAAGCAGAAACTGAGGTTTGGAGAGCTTAGCTGAATTGTCCAAGGTCACATGGTAAATAAGCAGCAGCTAGAATCTGATCTGAGGGTTTGATCTCAAGGTGGACTATTACTTTCATGTTACAGAAGAGGAAACCAGCTCTGTGAAGTTCAGCAAAGTGACACAGCTGAGGACCACATGGAGCCTAGGCCCCGTCTTGATTCCACTCTTCTTTGTTCTATATTAGTTGTTCTTAACGCTCAATCTGAAGAAGGCTTCTTGACATCAGGCCTGTTCCATGGACCTCTGAACCCCCACCACCCAAAGGGGGCCCGGGACACACTACGCGCTCAATAAATGTTTGTCAAATGGAGACCCTTGGGCTGGAGACAGACTGAGGGACCATGGCAAGAGTGGACCAGATCTGGTTGGGAAGCCTGGACCACTGCTCTCTGGCTGTGCCCTCGGCAAGTTAATTGTCCTCAGTCTCTGCATCCTCGGAGGGAGAACCCCACCCTCGCAGGTGCTGGTGAGGATTCAGGGGGGTGTATGCTGAGCCCCGGCAGAGAGCCTGGTACAGCCATTTTTACTACAGCAAAATGTACATAGCCTGGACTCCGCCAGAGCACCCGGGTTTGAATCCCAGCTCCCCACTTAATTCCTGAGCAATGCAGGGCAAGCTACTGACCTGCCCAGATTTCTAATCTGTAAAACGGAGACAACGATAGTACTTATGTCCTAAGGAACACTGGGAGCAGAAAATGGTATCATGCATCTAACGTATTTAGAACGGTACATGGTAAGCGTTCAGGGTGTTAGCTGTTTTATGATTAGTTCTAAATTATCAACAAATCCTGGTCTAGGCCATGGCTAGTGATATAAAAGTTACATAAAAATATCCACTAGGATGGTAATGAGGGCTAGGGTCAGGGGCTATCATGTGCCTCCCAGTCTCTCTACTGTAAGACCGGAGGGCTAATCCCTGCCCAGGGCCCAATCTAATGCTTATTTGCTTTATCAGGAGCTCCATCTTTGCTAGCTGGTGGGGACTTGACACAGGCCTGCAGACTGCAGCCCACAATCAAGGGTCCTGGGACCCCTGGACCGAGGAACAGCCTGAGCCCCTGCCGTGTTTGCAGTCCTTCTATCTGGGCTTCCAGTTGGTCCTTGATGGACGCTCAGGGCACCCAGCTGAACCCAGTCCTGTCCTGGAGCTGAGCCCCCAAGCAGAGCTTTGTGCCAATTTCCTCTCTAGGTGCCAGGGGGATCTAGACAACTCCTTGTCATGATGTCCCTCTGTCCCAACCCTGACTCTGAGCTTCAGCACACTGAGAAGCTCATGCTACAAGGACCCGCTCATTAGATGGGACCCTCTGACATGGGGCAAGCTGCTGAGCCTTTGGAGAGTATGATCTGGACCATTCCTGCACTTATCCAAGCAATAACAAACAAGTAAAGAACTCAATATTTTGTTTAACTGTTCAAAAATTCAAAAGCTTCTGCAAAAGACTATTTCTCCTATGATGTGAAATGGTGGCTCTCTCATGAAGGGGGCTGGGGGGACAGGGACTTCTTAAACCTAACGCCTGGCATGTCCGACTAGGGCACCTGTCAAACCCTCCTAGCCAAACTCCCAATCATGACCCTTCCCAGACAGCCCTAACTCGCTGTAGCCCAAAGCCCAGGACAACACAGTCACCACGAAGCATCTCCAAGAATCATGATCTGACAGTAACCACAGAAACTTTTCCTGGTGGGACAATGAACATGTTACACAAAAGGGAACTTCTGCTGCTGGAGACACTCTAATGCCAACAAAAGCCAAGTCTGTGGCAGTAAATATCAGATTCACAGCCCATACTCTCTGAGCTTGAGTAAGAGCCCGTGCAAGTCCAGGCCAGAAGCTAGGCTGGCAGGATCCGCTTCTATTCCTGCACATAAACAGCAGATGTCTTCACTCCTGGGAAACCATTCTTACTCCCTGGAAGTGTGAATGGTATTTTAGTTTCCCCTACGGGAGTCTTGGAAAAGACTGAGAGGCAAGTTCCACATGGCTGATTTACACTATAGCTTATATTTCTGCTGCTGTAAAGTTGAGAAACGTTATTTGCAGAGTAAGCATAGAGTAAAACCATAATGAATACCCAAGTTCTACACATAAAGTAGGCCATTTTATTTTGCTGGGGAGAGCAAGATGGCCACGTGAGCTCCAGAGGAGATGCTCGTCCAAAGAAAGGAGCAGAGAGAGCGTGAAGTCAGGAGACAGGCTGTACCCACCGGCCTGGGGACTGGGGACCTGGGGAAGCAGAGGAGAGTCAGAGCTGGGACACCAGGGAGATGAGGAAGTTACACATCCAGTCTCAACTAGTAACAAGTCTACTTGCAATATGAAAATTGCAACACTCAAATAAACAGAGTATCATTCTTAACAACAGTTAGCCAAAAGCATACTCTATAGGGAATATCCGAGGCAATTCAGAACTAATTTGATCCTCTACTCTAAAATGTGCCCAGTAGATGATTCCATTAAGAATGATGCTACTTGGGGGCCGGCCCTGTGGCTTGGCAGTTAAGTGTGCGCGCTCCGCTGCTGGCGGCCTGGGTTCGGATCCCGGGCGCGCACCGACGTACCGCTTCTCTTGCCATGCTGAGGCTGCGTCCCACATACAGCAACTAGAAGGATGTGCAGCTATGACATACAACTATCCACTGGGGCTTTGGGGGAAAAAATAAATAAATAAATAAAATTAAAAAAAAGAATGATGCTACTTGGGTCTTGAATAAGTGCTTCCTCTGAACAGCTCAAGTGCAAATACAGTCAGTCCTCACTATTTGTGGATTCCATATTTGCTAATTCACCTACTTGCTAAAATTTATCTGTAACTCCTAAATCAATACTCTAGCGATTTTGTGGTCATTCTTCGACATATCAACAGTGGCAAAAAAATCTGAGTTACTGGATGGGAATGTTCCCAGATGAAGGTGAACAAGGAAACACTGCCTTCTTATTTCAGTTCTCATACTTAAACAAGTGTCCTTTTCGTGGTCTATGTAGTACCTCACTGGTTTTGCACTTTCGTGGGTTTTTTTTTTGGTGATTTTGCTATTTAAAATGGCCCCCAAGCGAACTGCTGAAGTGCTGTCCAGTGTTCCTAAGGGCGAGGCCACTGAGATGGGCCTTACAGAGAAAACACCTGTGCTCGACAAGCTTCATTCAGGCATGAGTTATAGTGTTGTTGGCTGTGAGATCAGTGTTAATGAATCAACACCACATATTAAATAAGGTGTCTTTAAACAGAAACACACATAAAACAAGGTTATGTATTAATTGGTTGATGAAAATGTGACCAGAGGCTCCCAGGAACCTAACCCTGTACTTCCCTTAGGAGCAGGGCTTCAGTATTTGCTAATTCAGTGTTGGCAGCACCTTTATAGAATTTTATAGAGCTACCTCAAATAACAAGAATTGATTCAATCTACCCTTCATCCCAGAGCAAGGATAGAGGGGCATGGGGTCGTGGAGGTGGGCTTAATTACTTGTAAGCTGTCAGGATCTTGGTGTAGTGGGGTGTAGGAGGGACTAGGAACCAGGAAACCCTGGGTTCTTGTCCTGGTGCTGCTCACTGGTGACCTTCAGGATGTCACCTGATTTATCTGTGCCTCATTGTACTCACCTGACAAATGAGAGAGGAGAAGGGGGGAGCTGAGGAGGGAGAAGGGTTTGGGCTAAAACATCTCTCAGGACATCTCCAACTGTGAAATACCTCTCAAACATTTTATCCCATCCTGTCCCCACTGGTCACTCATGCTCCAGCCACACTGGCCTGCAGGCTGCTCCCTCCTCCTCCAGGCACACACTGACCTTGGGCTTCCCCATTAACCATCTGGTTCCCTCACATCTTACTCACTTCTCCTTCCCAGGAGGCCTTCCCTGACTATTTAAAACTGCAGCCCCTCCCAGCACTATCTAGCTCTCTTCCCTACTTTATTTTTCTCCATAGAAAGTACTTTCACCCAAGGTACTTATATTCCACTCCTGTGATGTGCCGTCTCTCTCTCTCCCTACACTGGAATGTGAATTACATGAAGGCAGGGACTTGGTCTGCAGCATCCCCCCACCCCTAAGCACAGAACCTGACTGCTGAAAGGGTTACATGAGTGCACACCTGTAAAGTAGGCTTTGAGCAGTACCTGGAGCCTGGTAAAAGTTGGCTATAATTATTACCATCATTGGTAATAATTGAATGTATTTTTTATTGTTGGTTTATAAGAAAGGTCTCCTTACACCACTTACCTAGAAACGAAAAATCTGCAACTTTTTGCAAAGAGTCTGAGACAAACTCAGAGAGCTCATAAAGTGCGAAGACCCACACAGACCTCAATTAAAAGCACTGCTGCACCAGCCCTGAAGAGAGTATTTATGATGTTCGAATTCTGGAAGCTGACTCCTAGAAGTCTACACGGTACTCACACGGGAAAAGCATTTAATCACGGTACAGAAACCCAGAACACAAGGGCTCTGGGGACCCCGGAACCGAACTACCTCATTTCACAAATGAGTAAACCCAAGTCCCGAGAGCATTACCCAGAGCATGGCGCACAAGAAGGAGTGTCTGTCTTGTGTGGACTGGAATGGGCGCGGAGGGTTGTCTTTAAAGGGTTCCCTTAGTAACTGCCACTGACCGAAATGGTCCCTGACCAACTGGAACTTACTGTGCAATGCAAAGACGACGTGAATTTGAAGAGATGCTCTTCCAAGCCATTTACGGCAATTCAAGAAGAATTTTAAGTAGTTGTTTTAAAGAATTTGCTTTAAATTAGATATATTGAATTCTTAGGGTAGGAATGTATGTACACAGAGCTGAAATACTAAAAAGAAGGATATTTTCAGCAACAGACTAGAAGAGAGGCTAAAAGTCTACTTCCAGAGATGACAAGGTATCTGAAGAACAGACATATCTGGGACTGCATCTGAAGATGGACCACAGAGACCCCTTGTGGCTTCTCCTCACAAGCAGGCACAAAGCAGTTGCTGCCACAGGCCAGCCTGTTGTAGAAACATGGGTCAAGTTCCTAAGGTTGTGACTTCCCACTTGGTTCTTCACATGGAGACTGGCAGCTCTCACCCTGTATTAGCTGAGCATTTCAAAATGCAAGATGATGTGCTTCTGGGCCGGCTCCGTGGATTAGCGGTTAAGTGCGCGCGCTCTGATGCTGGCAGCCCGGGTTCGGATCCCGGGAGCGCCCCGAGGCACCACTTCTCCGTCCAACGCGAGGCCGAGTCCCATGTACAGCAACTAGAAGGATGTGAACCTATGACATACAACTATCTACTGGGGCTTTGGGGGGAAAAAACTGAATAAATAAAATCTTTAAAAAAAAAAAAAAATAAGATGATGTGCTTCTATTTTAAAGAAACAGCTTTGGCCCACGTCAACTTATACAGTTGGTTTCTGTTCCAAGTAAGTAATACACCTGTGTTCAGATATCATCATGTTTTAAATTGCATGTGAGGAAAGATGAATAGAAGCAGCCTAAGGAAGCCCAGTAGCTCCAGAAACGGAGAACCATTCTAAGCGCAAGCATGACTGGTCAACCCTGGTGATCATAGAAAATAACCAAGGAAGGGAGGGACCCAGCGAGTGTTGCAAGGCAACGGATTCCCAAAAGTCCAAGAGGAGAAGTGGCTCTGCACACTGGATCCTGTGATAAAGCCCTGAGGTGGGAATGAGGCATAAGGAAGTAAGCAGTCAGCAGAGGCAGGCACAGAGAGAAGTCCTGGGTGAGGAGAACGTGCTGGGGAGGGTCAGAGGAAAGGAAGAAGAACTCAGTATTATCCAGCATACACAGCCAGCTAGCCTTGGCACCATGGCCTTGGGTCTCGGCCACACTGCAGAACGGGCCAGGGCTCCCTGACTGGGATGAGGCTAGAGCAGCTCCTGCCATTGCCTGGGGCTCATTACTGCCACCTGTGGGACAACTTGGACTCTGTCCCCAGAATGGATGGGGTGGGTCTAGTGATTTGGGCTAGACTGCTGGCTCAAATTCAAGAAGCCTCATTCCCAAACTCATCTCTCCTTTTCCTGAAGTCCTAAGGCAGATACTCAGTTGAACATCTCTTAATACTCTGCTATTCTTTGGATTAATTCCAGCTCCCCAATTAGCCTCTGAGCCTTGCTTTCTAAGCTAAACTCAAAGCTTTTCTAATGTCCTCTCTACTTGGTTGATGAGGCCCATCAAGGGCAAGTGACCTGCCCAAGGTCTCCCAGCGCGTGAGCAGTAGGTATGGATGAGCAGTGGGGTCTCCTGAATCTCAACACAGTAGCCCTTCCACTACCCCCTGCAGCATCAGCCACTTGAGGTCAGAGACCCCCTGGGTATTTTTTCCATACCCCACAATGCCTAGGTAAGTGCCAAGCACATCATCAGCACCTATTAGCTGTTGATTAATTTTTCTTCTAATGAAAAGATGCTGTGTATCCAGAGAAAAGTCACCAAAAGTAATCAAAGCGACATGAGTCCTGTGAATTATAAAGAAAGGTGGAGGGAGTCTGGATTAATTTTCTCAGACAAGAATGAGAAGGGTTATCTTGACGTATTGAATGATGGTGGGGAAAACGCCAACCAAAGGTTGTCCTTCTATAAGAGGAAGGGGCTTTGGAAATCCAAGGAGAATTTGGAGAGCAGTATTAGTGAACTTCTTAAGGAAAAGAGATATTAAAACAAGGAAGCCTCTACTGAGCTCTTTATCCCTGGGGCAAAGCTTTAAAAACAGGGTGATGATTTAATTGTCCCCAGTGACCTTCGTGTTTCAACAAAGATGACTACACCAGAGTCATTAAGTTTATTCTGTATCTAGGTTATGATTCTGTCTGCAAAATGCAATCTCTGTGAAACTTATTCCATGACAAAGCATTAGAGCCTCGACTATCCTATTTTTCAAATTGCTTTGGGAAGAGCCTTTACATGTTAGAGAGGATGGCAGTTTACACTTGAGCACATAGAACAGGACACAAAATAATATTTATTTTTATGTCTTCAGAATATGTTCACATATTAACAATGTTCTATGCCCTCGTGCTGGCCAGAGCACATTATCTTAATTCTACACAGCTTACTCTGGTGGGAAGGGGACTAGCTAGCACATCGTCACCACCATTAACACACAGTTACTCAGTGTGGGCACATGTTTGTCTCTGCAGACTTTGTATCTTTCATGGAGAGAGGTCCTCAATGAACTCTAAAGGAA